ACATATATTGTAATAGTCAATTACTAAGATTTTTGTAATTTAATAAGTATGAGCTGTTAAGTGAAAAACATAATTTTAGGTAGATTTAATGCAACATCGACAAAGTTGATGATTTATAACATATATTAATTTTAATAATATTAAACTTAAACTTAAAATATGTGCGTATATTATGCTCATACTATGTATGAAACATTTAAATATTAACTATAAAATTCACGCTAGATAATAAGACTATAAACGTATAAATTGGAGAGAAGTTGCGTTCAAGTTGGGCTAATATCACAGCTCAGACAGCGAGCCTTAGCGCCTAGGAGCTTCTGTTCTCCTGATCCTATACCTTTAAACCTTTGACGCTTATGTGACGCTTCTTCAGAGTGTGTTTATTTATTATTTCCTCAATTTTTTAATTTGTTTTCTTTTTTTCTATGAGAGTAATTAACTTATATAAGAAAGTTACTTTGTTGGGCATGCAGTTCCTTACTGCTTTATCTAATTAAATTGTTTAGCTGAATAAATAAATAAATAATGAGGCCTAAGAAAGATTTTAAAAAATCTCCTTACTACAGGAACATGATTTGAATGTATTTTCATATTCCTGGAGACCACAGTCTCCAAAATTAATTGTATTTTATCTTAAACAATTGATGCTTGTCATAATGCAGTAGTACGTTTCATTTCCATAATACAATAATCCATACATTAGTACAACAATAAAACTTGATATATTTAGTGGAAGAGGACACATAGATTTTTTTTGGCCTGTGGCCATGTTATGCAGATGGCTGGCCTGTGTTTGAAAATAAAGAGTTCTTCGAGACAGAGTAATTTTCATATTACCTCTTAATTATGAAATTTACATTTTTATTTCTCTCAGTGCAAATTGTTAATATTTGGTATTTGACTAACTGTTTTCTTTTGTACGAGGAGTAGGAACACCAGGAGTCATTGGTGGATCAGAGGTAGGGAAAGGAAGACATTTAAAAATTTATATTTTTATTTCCATCAATACAAAATGATAATATTTGGTATTTGACTAATTTTTTTCTTTTCTACTAATCTTGGAACATTGCGAGGTTGTCATAAAACCTAAAATCTTCGACATAGTTGAAAGATTGTTTTTACTAAAAATAAATGTACCTGGTTGTTTACTTCCCAGTACAGCAAGGCTTTTTCTAAATATGAGCAGCATATCATTAAAAAAAATAAGCTAATAAAGCATAATGCTCAGTAAAAAAAAAATCACCAAACAGATATAATCTGTTGCTCATTATTACTTATGTTTACCTCAATGTAAAAAAAAAGAAATGTTTATTCGAGTTAAATTTGAAAGGCATACAATCAAATGTGTAAACATACTTTTTTTTTTCATATGATTACAAATGTATTAAACATTAGTAATGGTATTGCTAATGATTTTCTGACTATTTTTTTTTTCTAATTTTTCAATGTTTCTGCACACAAACTGCACCAGTTTCTTTTGTTTTTCCCATTCACATACAGTCAACTGAACCTGATAGTGGGTTATAGCACTTCCAGGATCATTAGATATCCGGCACATGTGCTTTCCCACATTCTCCCCCTAACTAATTGTTATTCCAGTTAAATTTGAAGGGTATACATTCAAATGTGTATACTTATTTATTTTTTAATATGATTGCAAATGGTTTTAACATTATTAATTGTATTGCTGATGATTTTCTAACTATTTCTTTCTAATTATTCAATGTTACTAGTTGATTGAATTCAATTTTAAAGTATAACTTCCTTATCAATGGGAGTAGGAACACCATCAGTCATTGGTGGATCAGAGGTAGGGAAAGGAAGATCTTTAAAAATTTACATTTTTATTTCCCTCAGTGCAAAATGATAATATTTGGTATTTGACTAATTTTTTTCTTTTCTACTAGTCTTGGAACATTGCGAGGTTGTCAAAAAACCTAAAATCTTCGACATAGTGGAAAGATTGTTTTAACTATAAATAAATGTACCTAGTTGATTAATTCCTAGTACAGCAAAACTTTTTCCAAATATGACCAGCAAGTAATTATTAAAATAAGCTTATAAAACATATTGCACAGCTATAGAAAAATCACCAAACAGATAGTATCTGTTGCTCAATATTTATTATATTTATCTCGAGTGAAAAAAAAAATTGTTATTCCAGTTAAATTTGAAGGGTATACATTCAAATGTGTACATTTATTTATTTTTTAATATGATTAAATATATTTTAAACATTTGCACACAAACCTCACCAGTTTCTGTTGTTTATTAATTTTTTTTTATTTACTGTACATATTAAATAGTATTCCTAGTGTGCAGTCTTACAGGAATATAATTTTATATTTATACAATCTCTCGTTAAAAAGGCTCTTCTTCAAAATTGAAATTATTAATTGCAATCTAACACATTCAAGCTAATTATTTGATTATATTCTCCTGTAAATTTATTTTCGGGATTCAGGCAACTTTTTTAAAAATGTTTATGAATTTTGTCTTTAGATCTTTCGACATTTGTACACTGAAACGCACTGCACAGTGAATGGAATGTATTAATGATTTATATATTTTTTTTGTAAGAGCTATGATCATTATATATTTTATCTTTTACAATTTAACAGATTCCTCTGATTCTTTTTTTTGACTAGAACTCATCTTATCGAATTCGTAGTAAACTATACCCGATAGTAGGTGTACATCTGGCACATTCTCCCCCTAACTAGTTGATTGAATTCAATTTTCAATAGGAAGATCTTTAAAAATTTACATCTTTATTTCCCTCAGTGCAAACTGATAATATTTGGTATTTGACTAATTCTTTTCTTTTATACTAGTCTTGGAACATTGCGAGGTTGTCATAAAACCTAAAATCTTCGACATAGTGGAAAGATTGTTTCAGCTATAAATAAATGTACCTATTTGATTAACTCCTAGTACAGCAAGGCATTTTCCAAATATGAGCAGCATATCGTTATAAAAATAAGCTTATAGAACATATTGCACAGTTAAAAAAAAAAAAAATCACCAATAAGATATTATCTGTTGCTCATTATTTATTATGTTTACCTCGAGTGAAAAAAAAAAGTTTATTCCAGTTAAATTGGAAGGGTATACTTTCAAATGTGTACACTTATTTATTTTTCAATATGATTGAATATATCTTAAACATTTGCACACAAACTTCACCAGTTTCGGTTGTTTATTATTTTTTTTTAATTTACTGTGCATATTTCATAGTATTCCTAGTGTGCAGTCTTACAAGAATATAATTTTATATTTATACGACCTCTTATTAAAAAGAAACTTCTTCAAAATTGAAATTATAAATTGCTATCTAACACATTCAATTTAATTATTTGCTTATATTCTCCTGTAAATTTATTTTCGGGATTCAGGCAACTTTTTTAAAAATGTTTATGAATTTTGTCTTTAGATCTTTCGACATTTGTACACTGAAACGCACTGCACAGTGAATCGAATGTATTAATGATTTATATATTTTTTTTGTAAGAGCTATGATCATTATATATTTTATCTTTTACAATTAAACAGATTCCTCTGATTCTTTTTTTTTGACTAGAACTCATCTTATCGAATTCGTAGTAAACTATACCCGATAGTAGGTGTACATCTGGCACATTCTCCCCCTAATTAGTTGATTGAATTCAATTTTCAATAGGAAGATCTTTAAAAATTTACATCTTTATTTCCCTCAGTGCAAACTGATAATATTTGGTATTTGACTAATTTTTTTCTTTTCTACTAGTCTTGGAACATTGCGAGGTTGTCAAAAAACCTAAAATCTTCGACATAGTGGAAAGATTGTTTTAACTATAAATAAATGTACCTAGTTGATTAATTCCTAGTACAGCAAAACTTTTTCCAAATATGACCAGCAAGTAATTATTAAAATAAGCTTATAAAACATATTGCACAGCTATAGAAAAATCACCAAACAGATAGTATCTGTTGCTCAATATTTATTATATTTATCTCGAGTGAAAAAAAAAATTGTTATTCCAGTTAAATTTGAAGGGTATACATTCAAATGTGTACATTTATTTATTTTTTAATATGATTAAATATATTTTAAACATTTGCACACAAAACCTCACCAGTTTCTGTTGTTTATTAATTTTTTTTTATTTACTGTACATATTAAATAGTATTCCTAGTGTGCAGTCTTACAGGAATATAATTTTATATTTATACAATCTCTCGTTAAAAAGGCTCTTCTTCAAAATTGAAATTATTAATTGCAATCTAACACATTCAAGC